AGTAGTGGGTGTGTCCTTCTCAGTAAAAGAAAAAAGTTGAGGTGTGGGAAAGAGTTTTTCAGAAACAGAGGTATTAATAGGATTCATGAAAGGCAAATCATTCTCATAAAAAAGCACATTTCTGGAAATCAATGTTTTCTTGGTATCAAGGTTGTAAAATTTATAACCTTTACAACCTAAAGGATACCCAAGAAGAATGCATTTTTGTGCTCTAGGTTCAAATTTATGTCTGTGAGATTGTAAAGTGGATGCATAACATAAACAACCTATGACCCTAAGATGATCATATGTTGTCAGTTTATTGAACAGTAATTCAAAAGGTGATTTATTATTGAGAACAGTAGAGGGAACCCTGTTGATAATATGAGCAGCAGCCATGATGCAATCAATCCAAAAATACAAAGGAAGATGTGCATGAAATAAGATAGCTCTAGCAACTTGTAATAAATGTTGATGTTTTCTTTCCACTCTTCCATTTTGTTGAGGTGTTTCAACACAGCTAGTTTGATGAAAATACCATTTTTGTGATAAAAATCAGGTAAAAGGAATTCAGTGCCATTATCAGTGCCAGAGATACCTTTGTATCAGATTTTAATTTAAGAGGATAAATCCAAGTTGTCCTACTAAAATCATCAACAATTGTCAAAAAATATTTGTAACCCTCATGAGAACAGACAGAGAAAGGTCCCCAAACATCACGATGTATGAGTTCAAAAGTAGAAGAAGATTTTGAATCACTTAAAGAAAATGGTAACCTCTTTTGTCTAGCAAAGTGACACACATCACATGGTAATGCAGGTATGGATTTGTGATGAATATCAGAAATGGGTAAATTGAGCAGTCTAGAATATGAAAGGTGTCCTAGTTTGTTGTGCCATGTATAATGTTTTGCATGACTATGTTTGATATGTAAAGAAGGGGATACATGGTTTTGGGATGATACAGGTAATTGAGGGGATACATGGATATTGCATTCATTTGAGGTATTGACAGTATTAACAGAAGAATCAAAAAGAGTAAGATGATAGAGGCCATCTTGTAAATCAGCAGAACCAATCACTTTGTTTGTGGTCAAATCCTGTAGAATGCAGCATGAGGACATGAACTAAATCATACAGTGAGATGTGGATACTAGCTTTGAAACAGATATCAGATTGAATGAGAAGCTAGGAACATATAAAGCATCATGCAGGGTTAAAGATGACAATAGATTGATTTGACCCACAGAGCATGCTTCAGTGATATTACCATTTGGCAAATTAATTTTAATGTTGTGAATAGGTTTAGACTGAGTAAAAAAAGATTTATCACAGATCATGTGATCTGTTGCTCTTCTATCCAAGATCCAAGTATTTTTAGATAAAGATCTAGATGCAGAACAGGAAAATATAGCAGACAAACTTGTAGCATTATGCACAGCAGCAGCAGTTGCTACCATATGATTGGGTTCAGCAGCTGATTTGGTCTCCTGTAACTTTTTGAATTCTAAAAACTCATGAAAGAGCTGATTAGTCATGTTTGGAGTATCAGATTTGGGAGTATTATCAGTGGGTTCAGTAATGGCTTGAGTGAGATTGGCTGAGTGTTTAGAATGTATCCTGGGACCCTTGGGGCCAACCCAGTTAGGAGGATAGCCATAGACTTGATAACATTTGTCAGAGGGGTGTGGATAACCATAGTAAGAGCATTTAGCCCTTGGTTTCTTGTCTTTTTGGTATTGTGGTTTCTGAAAATTGTTTGGCTGTTGATAAGTTTTGGCAAGCATGGCCATGGGATCAGTAGGTAAGGTATTAGACAGTGATCTCTGGGATTCTTCTTGGAGTAAGAGAGAGTAAATTTTGGTGAGGGATGGTAAGGGTGAGGTCAACAAGAAATGGCTCCGGAGAGAGGCATAGGAATCATTTAGGCCAATTAAGAATTTCATCACACAGTCATGTTGCTGAGAGTCAGCCATCAGTTCAAAGATATTACAATTACAAGTAGCAAAAGTACCACAATGACATCGAATAATAGGCCTAAATGTGACATACTCATCCCAAAGTCCTTTAAAGGAATTATAGTATTGAGTAACAGTGTTAGAACCCTGGTTTATAGTGCTCAAAGATTTTTCTAACTGAAAAACTCGTGGACCACTACTAACTGCATATCGATTTTTCAGCTCATCCCAGACATCTTTGGCAGAATTGAAAAACAATAGACACTGTCTAATATCTTTGGATATGGAATTTAACAGCCAAGACAATACCAGGTTGTTTGCCCTAATCCAGGACACATGCAAGTTAGGGTTATTAACGGGGGATGGGGAAAGGATTGTACCGTCGACAAAACCACCTTTGTTTTTCACGCTAAGCGCCATGAGAACAGCACGAGACCAGCTGACGTAATTTTCGCCATTGAGAAGTTCAGCGACTATCAAAGCTCTCGGATTGTCGCTCGCGTGCAGGTAGAAAGGCGATGAAGGATCATCAATGGGATTTGCAGTAGTAGCCATATCGTTTTGGATGCGAAATCACCAAATTTCAGAGGAAAAACTGAAGAAATATAACAGATCTAAAAGATATAGATCGAGATCTTTAGGGTTTCGGAGATTGAAAACCCTAAATAGCGAATCGAAGCAAAAAATAAGATAATCTCAGAGATGGAGATCAAAAATCAAACGAAAAATGAGTGCGGAAGCGAAAAAAACAGAGGATCTTTAGGCGATTGATACCATATTAAACTGGAAATTAAACAATAAACTGAAAGATTTGCATTGAACTGAAAGATTGTACAAGATGAACAGAGAGAGAGAGTTTGGTTGCAGAGAAAATAAAAAAGTGAAAGTTAAGTAAAACAACAAGTGGTGAGACCCTTTTATATCTAGGGTTACCACAATGGCAAAATAGTAATAATAATACAAATGCCTATAGTTGCTGTTTACAAAAACAACAACTTTAACACAAGTTCTAATATTACAAATGCCTATAGTTGTTATGTAAAATATAACAACTTTAACACAAATTCTAACTACAAATATAAACATAATGTTATTACTGGGGTCAAGACAACCTTTTAATCCTGATCTTCGTTCCTCTTCTTGTCCTGGTTCTGGGCTTGGAGGGGTCTCCGGTGGTGGTTCCCGACGCGGCTCGTGTGGGTTCGTGGCCTTCGAGGTGTGTTGGGGTGGAGTTAATCGCGAGTCTCTAGGTGTTGACCTGGTGGTGGCCACTCGGGTAGGTCGTTGATCTTGTCGGATTGGCTTCAGTGGCGGGTGGTCACTTGGGTCTGGACTCGAGTGGTGCGGGTGCGGAGTGTGTTCGGACGGAGGGGAGGGCAGTAGTCTTTTTAGTTTTGTTCTCTTGTAGTCGCGCGCCTTTTCTTGTTTGCTAGTGTTTGTGTGTTTTTGGTGTTTTCGTTTGTTCTGTCTGTGTTTTCCTTTTTTCTCTCCCGGGAGTGTGTATGATGTATTCTCCTATTAGGAGCTTTTGGTTTATTCTCCTATTAGAAGTTTTTGTGTGTTTTCCGTTGTAGGTAGTGTGTTTTTACTCCCTTTGGAAGTGTGTTCGTCTGTTTTGTGGGTAGGTTAACTCTAGGCTGGGTGTCCATTGTAAGTGTAGTCCTCTCTACTGGAGTCTTTATTTGGCTGAATAACTGATCTCTAGTCTCGACTTTGTTGTGAATATAAGACCTTCATGTCGTTCTGCTAAAAAAAAAAAAAAATTATTGAACGTTTAATGCTAGAGCCCCTTAAACGGGAAAATATTATTTGTTTCAAAATAATGTTCTAATTTTTTATTTTTTTTTGTTGGATAATTGACACGTATACGCACGTATTAATCAAATGAAATTAAACACAAATTGGTGGAATGTGAAATCTCATCCCAAACCGCCCTATATCTTCATCTTCAACTCTCTTTACAAAAAATTAAATACGAGATATAGGTAATCCTCTCGGACTTCGAATGATCTCCCTCTTTATCCTCCTAATATCGTCTTTAGTGGAGGCAAAAGAGAGAATTTTATAGATGAATATTTCTCAAGTTTTAGTAGTCTTACCATTAATATGGAGCAGCACAAGTTCTATTTGTTGATCAATTAAGATTTTTGTTGTGAGAAGATGACAATATGGCATACGAATTAAAAAACGAGAAAAGTAAACAACACAAAATTTAGGTGGTTCGGCAATGTGCCTACGTCCACGGCGGTTGAGGGATTTTTATTATTCTCAATAGTCTCAAATACATCAATACACCATGTATTTACACTATAACCCTACTAATTTATTTAAATACTCCGTACCGTATCGTGGGGGCTCTGCCCCGCACCCCCGGCCAAACTAATCGACCCAGCCCAACAGGGGCTGATGCCTGCTCGCTCCACTCTGCTCACTTCGCTCGGTCGCTCCGCTTCCCTCGCTACGTTCGCTCCGTTACGCTCGCAGGCATCAGCCTACCAACAATTTTGTTAAAAGGGGGTCACTTAATGTATGCAAGCCTCTTAATTTTAGAGACTACTTTTGAAGATAACAAACTCAAATTTTGTCAAAGTGTATGCATTATGCAGTAAACTTGTTGCAGCAAACAAAACCATGAAGTTTTAAGCAGTAAACTATAAAATGGGAGATCTAAAAGCTTCCCCACATTGTGAATCCATGAAACTATATGTATCATAAGGAATATTGAGAGAGATTCAAGACAAAAATGGTTAAAACAATTCCGATAAAAAGAAGATGTTGAACTCAATCAAATGCATCCAAGATATTGAACTCAATGCCGATTCTCAAAATAATTTCTCTGCAATCAGAAGGGTAATACAAGCATTTCTCATGAATCTGAAATGAGCAAGAAAACTCAAAGAAATCGGTCGTAAAAGAATCAAGCTAATTCCAACAATGTCTTCAGTATTACATGAAAACTATAGTATAGCCCACAATAAAGGCCCTCTAAAGAATGCCAAACCTAGCTACAGCTTCTCAACATCAAAATTTGAGCCATCAATCATGTCGACAAATTTCTTCTCCCCTACACACCTGCAGGTACCTTAAAACTAACCGGATAAACTTGACTCCTGATCTCTTTCAACTTCTTATTCGGCCGATCAAACTCGACATCAACCTCAGAGCCCCTTAAACCTCCATTTTCTATAACTTTCAACTCCCTTTCCTCTGAAATATTGGACATAATGATCTCATTTTCATCTCCGGACCAATAACCACTCAAGTCGAAAGTAACCAACTCATCATCACTATCGGAGACCAACAAAATCGACTCGAGCTCATCGACATCCTCCACCTCATCAACTTCATCATCACCATCATCCTCAGCGTCCAAACCCTCCACAAACGGGTGATTCAAGAGCATCTCGGCCGTCAGCCGAAACTCGGGCTTCCGCACGAAACATCCCTTCAGGAAATCCCGGGCCTCCTTTGAAAGTCCAGCCGGGACCCAAGGCACTTCCCGGCCCAACCCGACCCTTGCAACAATCTCCTTAGCACTCGACTCCTTTTCCGGCGTGGCCCACGGGGGCTTCCCCGTCAGCATCTCAAGCACGATGCATCCGAGAGCCCACAGATCGCTCGGCCCCTCCTGCTCATTTTCCAGCACGGCCTCAGGCGACAGGTACATGGGTGTGCCCCGCCAGTAGGCCCCGAGTTTCCTCTTCCGGCTACGCCCAGCCCGCCTGGCCTGCCCGAAATCCCCAATCTTGGCCCGGAACTGGCTGCCTCCGTTCACGAGAAGTATGTTACTGGGCTTCAAGTCGCAATGGACGTACCCGAGCCCGTGGATGTGGCTCAGGCCCTTCAAAATTGACCTCGTGATGGACCTGACCTCGTGCTCCGGCAGCCCCCGGCCGCCGTTGGATGCCCTGATCCTGCCAGCTAGGGTTCCGCCGGAGCCGTATTCCAGCAGCAGGTTGTAAACCATGGCGCCGCTAGCACCGACCGTCGTCTCCTCGCCGAAGCACCTGATTATGTAGGGACAGCCCCTGACGTTGCCGAGAATTTCCCGTTCTTTCTGAATCGAGCCGGAAAGAGAAACCTCGGCCGATTTGACCGCCATTAGTGAGGGGAAGGAGCTGTATTTCGACGTGGGGTTCTTGAGAGTGGCTGAATAGACAGTCCCAAAAGCTCCTTTTCCGATGATGGAGCCCCTGAACCAGGAAACCCCATCTCCATACTCGTCCGCAGCTCTGATTTCCGCCATTGTTGGTGGAGTGTTTTGCAGGCCAATTGGGTTCGTGAAGTCGATTGGGAAAACAATTGAGGAATATAAAGAATGAATTTTTAGGGGAATGGAATTTGGTTTGTGTGTGGTGGGTGTGTGTTGTATTTGTGTATATATGAACAATGGGAAGTGGAGAACAAGTTGAGGAAAGGGGTTTCCTTTGTGGGATTGTAAAAGGAAAGAATAAATCCGCGTTTGGTTTGGTTTGGTTTGTGTTCATATAAAATAAATGAGAAAAAAAAAAAAGAAAATAGGTAAAAGCGAGTATTTATGAATATTATAACAGTAATAACTGTCAATGATGTCTCTGGCTTTGACGTATCGACATTGGCAACACGAGCACTACCGTGTGCCCGGGCACACTTTTTTCACGCGCCTCTCTCGCCCCAAAAACAAGAAAACTTAGAGAGTGTAGTGCACATTCTTATTTTTCCTTTTTTAATTGAAAAATGAAATATATTACCGAAATTAAAATATCATTAATTATTTATATTAAAAAATAAAATAAAAATACCAAAATTCATAATTTTTCATTATCTATAAATAGATACCACATTTGATAGGTTTTTTAACACAACTAATTTTTCTTTTTTTCGTAATTATTTTATTATACTGACATATAATGAACATGTTACATAATAAAATGAATATGTTTTCAAATATGATGAACATGTTACAGATTGCAAATTGAAATAATACATATTCATCTTATTTATAACATGTTCATCTTATTCTATACCATGTTCATTGTATTATGTAACATGTTCATCTTATTTTAGAACATGTTCATCTAAATTCCATCTGTGAAAATGTAACATTTTCATCTTATTATATGACATGTTCATCTTACTCTATAACATGTTCATCTTAACATATTAATCTAATTATAGATTTATGTCATAATCTTCCAATAAGATAAATTAATTGTAAAAAATGATAAATTAATTGTGTTCCAAAAAATATTAAATGTGGTCTTTATTTGTAGAGTATGAAAAATTATGAATTTTGGTATTTTTATTTTTATTTTTTGATACAAAATATGAATGATAATTTAATTTATATAATATGATATATGAATTTAATTGCCCAATAGAAATGAGATACATGTCCCATTTAAAAAAAAAAACGCATTACCTCCTTACCTTACGCGTTTTTGGTGAGGGTGTATTTCACAAAAAGCCATGACACACCTAAGTATTTGCGACACCATATATCCTTTTTATCATATATTTATCTTAATCTAACAGTTACAAACCCCGACGAATATTCCCGTAACGGAACCGTAGCATTTTTTAATTTTATATTATATTTTGAGGAATTTTGAACAGGTTGACAAAGGTAGTGAGAAAGCTCAAACGTGGTCGTAATTGGGCAGCGTTTACAAGTCAGAAACAGCAATTTACATGTGCCAAAATATTAATGCAGAGTGCAAACCATGACATTACAAACTTTTATTTTCAATCTCATTTTGAGCAACTGTTACCTTTAAATATTATAATTCATTTCTAATAAAAAAACATTGACTATGTTTGGTAAATAGTTTTTTCTTCACTGTTGTTTGGCAATTAGCGGTTAGCTGTTAGCTGTTAGCGGATTGCATTAGCTGTTTTGACTAGCGGATGATGTTAGCTGTTTTGACCAACTGATTGTTTTAGCGGTTTCCAAAAGAGTGTTTGGTAAATTAAATATTTTAAATCAGCTGTTAACATGTAAAATTATTTATATGGACATCTATTCTTTTATATTCTTGTTTATTTTAAATTATAATTATATAGAAAATAACTATTACTTATATTTAAAATATTTCTAAAATGGCTTAAAATAACATAACACAAATAAAAAATAACAATATATAATTGTGAAGTGAAAAAGTGATGAAGATTCTAATTTGACATGATAACAAATATTCCAATAAAAAAATAAAATAAAAAACATAAAATATAAAAAATCACATATCAATTATCAGCCTTTATCTTACTCTTCCTCTATAAATTTGCACATAATTCATCACTCAATCTTTCTTTTTTATTTTTATTTTATTTTTATAAAAACACTTAATTTCAATGTCAATGGAGTATTTAAAGAAATTTGAGTTCATTTATAATCTCAATTTTATTTTCCCAATATATTAATGTAATAAAATATAAATCTATTTTCTATGCTAACTTTGATTTTTAACCCAAATATGCTAGTGTGTTAAAATAATATGAGGTGGAGTTAATGTAGTAGAATTAATTAATGGCAAATATGTCATTTTGGCCTTGTTTGGCGATCAGCGGATAGCGGATAGCGGATAGCGGATTGTATTAGCAGATAGCGGATAGCGGATTATATTAGCTGATTTGACTAGCGGATTACATTAGCGGTTTTTAAATAAGTGTTTGGTAAATAGCTGAAAGCTTATAGTTGTTTGACATTTCAAATTACCAATAAGGACATTTTATTATTCTTTTTTTTTAATAATAATATATTAAAACATTTATTATTTTTTAGTTGGTAATTATATTTTTTTAAAAAAAAAATTACTAACACTTGATTAAGAAGTTATAATTTTACATTTTTCTAGATAAATTAATCATATGGATGACATATTATTATTTGTTAGCATCATAAACCAATGTAGATTGTAAAATAAATAATACAAATTAAAAAGTTTTAAATTAAAATTATAGATTGTGAATCCTCTATCCCCAAAAAGCTCCTCTAATGAGCTTTTTTTAAATTAGAGTTTTGGGCCTAAAAAGCTTATCGAATAAGCTATTTACCAAACAAGCTCAATAGCGGATTTGACGGGTCAAACCTCTCAATTAAGTCCAATCCGCTAATTTATCCTCAATCCGCTATCTTCCAAACGGGGCCTTTATATTTTTTTCCTCAAAAAGCTATTTGAAAAAGCTTCAATATGTAGCTTTTTGAGAAACAACTTTTAGATCAAAAAAACTATTTCAAAAAGTTATTAACCAAACATTTTAAAATTGAAGGTTTCAAAAGTCAAACAACTATTTTTAGGGATGTAAATGGGTC